CATAGTTTTCTAAGTGTATCTTTTTTCCTCTCACGTGCGGGTATTACGTTTCGAGTAAATTTATTGGCTCGTTCGTGATTTGAGCTGCTCTGTGGTTCGAATATCCCGTGTTCCATTGGTCTGTTGGATAGCACCTTTGGAGTTTTTAGGTCCGTTTTTCATTGGTCCCTTCCTTATTTGAGTTGTGTTTCTTGTTACTCATCTCCGAGCTTATCTGAATGTTATGATGTTTTCTGCTTTTTTCAGGTGCTTTCTTTTGATCTGATTGGTGCGCTCTTAATTTGTATTTCAATGTCTCCGTGATTTTGATGTGCCTTTGGTTCTTCCCCGTTTGATGTAGTTTTTTGTCCTCTATGTTGGCCAATTTTGTTTCCAATAGATGGTCAGTTTGATACCTCCTTTTTTGAGTCCTTCGTTATCCTTCTTCGACTTCTTTGGTCAATTTTAGTCGAGGACTGGGGGTTAACACCATATATTTTTATGTTTTGGTTTGCCTATATATCTGATTTTACTTACAGTGGTCTATAGACTCGGTCAATCTGAATGTGTTTGTTGATAGCTTTTCCAGTGGAATATCACGCTTTCAGGAATTCATGTTCTCTCTTTGTTCTTGCTTGAACCAATATGTGAACGGTGCTTCAGTTGAATTTATGTCCATCTTGATCTTCGTGCACGGAGACATGGGAAAACTAGTCGTGACTTTTGGATGCAAGCTTGTGTTCATGTATGCTAATAGAGTGCTTCCTCCCTGTTTGTTCCACATAGTGTTTGTCACAACCTCAGCACCCTATATATCTGATTTTACTTACAGTGGTCTATAGACTCGGTCAATCTGAATGTGTTTGTTGATAGCTTTTCCAGTGGAATATCACGCTTTCAGGAATTCATGTTCTCTCTTTGTTCTTGCTTGAACCAATATTGTGAACGGTCTTCAGTTGAATTTATGTCCATCTTGATCTTCGTGCACGGAGACATGGGAAAACTAGTCGTGACTTTTGGATGCAAGCTTGTGTTCATGTATGCTAATAGAGTGCTTCCTCCCTGTTTGTTCCACATAGTGTTTGTCACAACCTCAGCACTGAACCTTCTTTCCGAAGTTGGTCTTTAGTCATCCCGTTGGGTTTTACAGTTCTATCCGTAGGGTTCCTCGCAGACTTGTGTGCCACGGTTGTATTATACTGTCGTAACAACCGTGCAGTCATTTCTGCAAAGTCTTTGGCTCATGGAAATATAGTCCTTTGCCTTCTCTTTGAGTTGTTGAGCTCAGCATGGTTAATTTGCTTTCGACATTTGGTTCCTGGGAAACTGTCCTTGGGCAGGACAGAATGTAATGAGGCTGGCGCCAACGACGCTAACAAGTGTGCAAAAGGTGATGGTGTTATTTTCTTCTTGACTCATATCCTTACTTTTCTTTCAAAAGAGGTTGAATGGTCCAATCTAAAATCGCACCACTCCTATCCCCTTGAGCCACATTCGGAGATACATACATTGTTCATTTCAGAAGTTTCGTTTGCCCCAAACAAAGAATGTAAAGTGATAACAATCCCTTGGCAATCATAGAATTTAGCATAGTATTTAAGTGTTTAGGTCAGTAAATTCCTCACTCATTTTTGAGAAAATCTTCCAAAACAGCTTAGAGGATACTCAGCTAACTTCAAGCCAGTTAGATAAGTTATCCGAACGCACTTGGCACTTCAATTGCAAAATTTAGCTGGCATTTCGAAACAAGTAGAGGTTCTTTTGGAGTGTGTGGGAAACTTTCTGTTTATGGGTGCAAACTACTAACCTGTTGTAATCTTTCAGTATAAGTTGAGTGATGTTTAGGTCAAAACTATTGATTTTTCAATTCAGATATGTGTCCGTATTCACGTTGTAGGGCTCGAATGAATTTGAAGTCAGAAGCAAGTGTCTCGGCCTTCTAGTTACAATCAAAATTTTCACACTCATACGCAGTCAATAATCACACACTTAATGCAATAAACAGCTGTTCCCCTCTTACTGGATTTATATTGTAGGGATCCAAATAGAAACCAAATAAGAGATCTAGACGACCGATGATCCACGGTTCCCTAGCAAGGGAGTAAAAAAGTTGAAAAGTGACCCAAAGTTGTATTCCTACTCAAGACAATGTGGTTGTCTGGTTCCCAAGCGGAAAGATTGCAGATGACGTGATCGAAGCGGCTATGTAAATCATAGTAACCAGTATTCAAGCTATCCCGAGTAACGACATGTCCGAATACCAAATTCATTCAGACGGGACCACCCACTTTGACGATGCTGCTTAAGTTGCGTAGCTCGAGTGTATTGCCTAGCTGTTAGTCTGTCCGCTGTGCTTGTCAGTTGGATTGCGTCATCATTGCACTGATGTTATTACCTGGACTGGTGATGGAACGTTTGCAATACAACTGCCAGGCTTAGCAAACAGACCTACAACAAACCACTCGCTTTGTCGGGTTTATAAGTTTATTATACTGAGGTGAATTTGAGCTAGTTGGCACAGATCGCTTTATTTCTAAGTCAAGTCTCCGGCCAAAATTGAGGATTTTGCATTTCACCCTAGGAACCGAATTTGCCACTATCAACGCTATATATCAACAGGATTCTTAGGTTCTTGACTTCACACGTTGTTGGATAACTCGACAAACTCCACGGTCAACCCCAGACACAAACATGGGTGCGCAGACTCAGACTAGCAAATTATCGCCTTTCTCGCTTGTCATTAAAAGTATTTGATCGCCGTTCAGTCTCTTCATCCTAGTCCAAGCAGCAGTATTTGAAACGATCTGTTGATCGCTGTTCAGTCTCTTCATCCTAGTCCAAGCAGCTATGCAGCAGAACTTTACGCAGAATACCGACTCAGAGAAGCTCTGTTGTTTAGAAAAGGTATCCTTCGAAAAATTCCAGATCATCGGGTGTTCTCAACTGGGTGAGGATTTTCCGGAGAACGGTGGCACATTCATTTGCACAAAAGTAGGGAGTAACCATCCGCATATAGCATGAAACCACATGGAAGCCCACAAAGAAACGTTCAAGCTTCGCGGCAGGAGGATCAAAAGTTTACCTACAAGTGTGAGAACACTGACCCCTTACACCTTTGGCATTCGGACGATTTTCAATGAGATTCATGACGCAAAATAGTGAACAGGTGGTTCATCAAATCACTCACAAACTGGGTATGGACAGTAGGTCACGAAAGTTTGCATCCATACTACGCGCCATCGGGGCTCATATAGAACAGTATTAAAAATATGCCGCGACATCTTCATACGGTTAAATAAAACTATTTTATAGATTAGTGTGTTCATTCCTTTTGTTGCCCAACATCTGTGTACGTCTCGACATCTCGAGTTCGCTCAGGATAAAGGCTGTTCATCAGGACAGATTCGTTGTGGATGAATGTGGAATTTATAAAATTCACGTCGAAATCGCACTCATTCGAACATTTTACCTCTGTTACTACTGTTCTGGTGAGTACACACGATAGACGCAATTTTCGCTTTTATTGAAGCTCATCAGCTATGCACATGTCGTTAGTTATGCCAAGATTTGAACTCCGGACATCGGACATGTGGCACCACTATTTCACCAGAGTACGCCGGACACATCTGATGCATGACTGGTGGACTCTATCGAGAGTGGAACTTGGATCCATTGCTTCTTCGCTCTAGCATAAACTCATCAAAACAATGGCGTCAGGAGAGGAGAACTGTTCGGACGAGAGTGGTATTAACGCGGATCTCACAAATCCCACAATCACCTACAGTTAATCACAAATTATTCAGTTGGTTTCAAGCGACCGTCACGCTCACTGACGGGAAAGCCCTGACAGGTGGGCCAATTGACTGGTACTTACTGAATCACGGTTCGATGCACCCGGTAAACCAATCATGTCGTTCGAGCTGAACACCTTCACTTGTTCAAACGTGGTCATTTAGGTACGTTCTTCCTGCGTCCAGAGTGTACTGGTGGAGCAGTGGTAACATGCTTACCTCATATGTCAGATATACGGAAAACCCGGACAAGTATATGCACTATTGATGAGCTCCAACGGGGGCAACTGAAGGACAGATATCCTAAGAAGACATCCCATCAGTTTGAATGGATCTTCTGATTTTTTGAATCATCAGACTGTGTAACTAGGTCAACAGGTGGTTGATGTATCAATGCCCCACATGAACCTAGATACAAATCTCACTTGAATGAATCAAACCCGCCAACGTATCACACGAGTTCTCTTACATTTCGGGTCAACAAAATAATCAATAAACAGACTCCACGATACTTGAGACACTAAGTCCAGTATGTTACAATAATGAAAAAGTACCGAAATACGGATAGGTCACATGCTCCTATTGGTAGTTAGTTTGCAACCGCCTCGTTACCATCGGAATGACATCCTCAGTCCGCGCATTGGTACTGTTACTTAGGTTGATACCGAAACGTCTGAAAGCTAATTACCAAGTACCGCGAACATACCGACCGTCACATGGTCAATCACCAAGGTGAGAATGTCTGCTGGATGTTTTATCAGCAGTGGACACCACCCAGGTGTGTTACAGATATCACTCGCCTACCCATTTAACGTTTGAAAAATACCATTCTTTTTGTTCCACATGCTCGATTTACATGTTTTCGAAAATTTATTCATATACGGTGAAAATTACTAAGGGTAACAATTAGGTACGTCCCTAAAAAAAATCAGGTTTGGTTTAGCTTGACTTGCAAGACGAAGAAGTGGGTAGCCGAACTTTTGGCGAATCTACTTCTGGGTAGGCTTCTTGGTCGTAGAAGCACCTAACTGCGAGCGGTAGAGGCACCAGTGGGGAACTCCGTCCAACATATAACTAATTGAAGCCCCGGAATCCACACATACGAGGTCCGCCTACGACCTATTCTGGCTATGAAAGACTTCTTGGTTTTTATTCTGCTACCGAGCTTGGAAGTCGCATCGCAAGTGTCTCATCAACCGAGGCGATATCGTCAGTGCCAGGATGAGTCACCTTGGTTCATGTTGACATCAGCTCGGTGTGGATTTCGTTGGGTGGTGTCACATCGACTGGGGACAAAACGTTTGAAATCCAACTGCTGAGCTCTGAGAACAAACCAACAACCAAACAGCGTACCCGAGCAATCTATATTCCGCAACATATGCGTTACGCCACCTACCAAAATTTTGCAGCAGCAATGTGATTAACCCACACGTAAAGAACTTATGGCATCGCTGATCTTTCAATCACGAAAACCACATCACATGGTCACCTATTGACTGGATTCTCAGGTAAAGTCTTCTCAAATGGAAGACTCGATCATCTTATCAATCACTCAAAGAGTTGGTTAGAGGAGGAGTAATTTCATAAGTTGAGTGCAACTTCCATCTGAGAATCGTTACTCAATGAGTCAGTCGAATATGACCACGTGACACAGTTTCCATGATTGAGTGACGAAACGACGCTAAGCATCTAAATGCGAGTTAATCACAGTAGCGATCAGCCACTCGAGGCTGAGCGCTTAAGTGTTCAACCACTGTTAGGTATGTCGCGGTTTTCGAATTCTGTTCCGTGAGGTGGGCAGTGCGAATGCTGCCCAATAAGGATGTAATACTTGTGCCTTCTTGGCTCTTCAGTATAGATTGGCTACACTTATATTACGGAATCTCACTTGGAAACTTAAAATTGTTGACCACCGGCGCGACTATGTTGGTGCAATAACAACCGATCATGCATGCCAAAAAGTCCCTGACACAAGCTATCGGTATGTTATGACTCTGACTGTATCGCTCAGATTAGATTATATGGAGGTCAGATATCGGACAGTCCGTTGGTGGACATACTAACCGCAATGGATAAGTTTACTGACGTCAATCACGACCAAAATCTGATGAGTGTTGTGGATTAATTTGCTTGCGCATGTACAAATAGAAAGTTAGCAGTATGAAAACAATTTCGCACAACATCCGAGGAAAAGGGATGTCTACCATTTGGAATCTGTCGCCCTAAACTTCTTGGTAGGCATACTAACATGTCAGCTTTAGCCTAGAAATGAGGATTCACTCGAAAACCTTACTGCCCAGATGGGTCACACATGATCGCGCTAAAATGATCTCTCATCAAACCACTGGCCTCAACCAAATCAGTGCAAATTCGATTTCGAGACAGAAAATGTTCGAATGGGGAAATAGATACCCTTTGGGTAAGACTGAATGAGCAGACAGATAGGCTAGTCTTCTTCCAAATTCACCCGTGATTTCTGAATCAGGGGCATTTACTCGCTGATCAAATGTTCGTAACAGACATTTGTGAAACAATTTAAAAGGTTAGAAGAATCACCCCATCATTATTTGAGCCAGACAGGCAAAATAAGCTTCGTTTACTACTGGTATTTGTCAACGAAATTATAAAAAATTTGAAAACGAAGCGACCTGTTGTACAGGGCTTTGACAATTGATGGGACATGAACAAACGAATGTGCTTATTGTTTTGCCTTAACGGACAGCTTTGCGGTTGAAGAACAATATTCACCCCATAAAGAAAACTACACCCAACGTTGCTGAAAACTCTTCGACAGCCCACGACCGGTTTCGCCCTTCTTGGGGCTCATCAGGTAGGTGCAGTCCCCGAGTTTCCGTCAACCTTATGATCTGCTTGAACCCAAATTGCACTGTTTTCGAGAAATAAACTCCTTTGCAAATCAATTTGGTTTTCAGGAGAAACTCAACTGAATCTCTCGTTTATGATATTCTACAACTGAAAGTGTTGCACACAGGCCGCCTCATGTTTCAGTTGGCACGATATTCGAGATATTGCGGTATATTTTCATAAAGGTGACAAGCGTAACAGTCTCCTGCCACTAACAAGTAAGTGGAGTCAATACTGCCTATACTTCTTTTGCAAAGTTTCTGCTCAGTCCACACAGAAGAAGGAAAAGCTCTGGAGTCGACTTTTGCTGTGCAAGGCTGATAAGCTCTAATAAGAGGGAAATTCGAATCCAGTGTCCAACCCAACCCCTCCAGAACAACCGCGCCAGGACAAGTAAAGAATCATTCAAACAGTGTCTATGTTAGTTTACCGGGTTTAGATCCGCAATGGCTGAAATATTAAGGTGTACGGACGCGTCCACGCCGAAATGTACAAGTGTGAAGAACGATGCATCGCGAAGGTCACTACCCGATCTCACACGATTTGGACAGCAAGTGCATAAGTGAAGCTCAGCAAACAAGGCTTGGAAACAAGCGACCAGTAGAGAAGGTATGAAAATGGCGAAGACGGGAAAGCCGTCTTTGGCTCGTTACAGCACTGGCAGACTGGGTATTTACGATGGTGATTTCATCAGAACAAATGCAGTCTCTGCTCAAACAGCAGTCTGAGCGATTCCTGAATTCCAGTTTGATTTGATGTTGCATTATTTCGATTGATGGTTCAGCCAATATGAAGATCTTCCCAGATCTTGGAAACAAAGGTTCCTGGAAAGCAAGACAACTACTCGGGAAAATCCTTCTTCTTGAACATGAACACTGTAAGAACTACAATCTTCCCAGGAGACCAAAGTTACTTCCAATAATTGAAGAACAGTCTTCAATAGCATTGTATGAATTTAGGCAAAAATGCTGGTATAAACTGGGCAGCAAAAGCAGGCAGGCAGGCAGGCAAAGCCAGCAAAGAACTGAACGGTTAAAACTCCGAAGTATGACACAGGATGAATGCAAATGTCTTATAATTTTATGCGGTTTGCGGAGGCAGAAATGACAGAAAGAACCCTCGACAAGACTGGGTAGGATTCGAATGTCACGTAGCAAAACATTACAGCTGAAATCCAGTGCCTGGTAAATTTGAAGCATGATGCGGTCATGATAAAAGAGAATGATCCCGGTAGGGTTGTTCACATACGGATGTAGAATGAAATTACAAACACTTTATTACAACCAACTTTCTTCAGGAGTGAAGACTGCTCCTAATAGTTTTTGACAGCTCATGGACACATTGTTGACTGATAGAACAGGATCATCACGAAGATACTGAACCTTATCATGGTTTGACGTCTTGTGCGCGTCCGTGACCCATTGAGCCATACTGGGGGTGTCCGTGTGACACTCACAGTCTTTCATATCAGGTTGGTCACTGGCTAGAGGTCGGACCAACACAGCCGCCCGGCCCTCCGGTTTCTGTAAAAATGCTAATACACTTTAATTTCCCGCAAACACCGCTAGTTTGTGGTCAGGCTTTTGAGTAGAAAGCTTCGGCTGAGGACCATTGTTTTCCGACAGCGAGCTTCATGGCCTTACTCAGTCTTCAAGCAATGTTTTCCCCCGTTCACCCGTACTTGTGGAAGCAAGTTGTGAGATTCAAACCCAAGGAACACGTCAGTCTTACAGCTTGTAGAAGAAGTTATCGGAGTAATTCTCTTTCACAGCTCAGTGTGATTTTTCGGATATCCTTAACTGGTTCATGCCCACTGACTAACGCAATGCAACTTGTGATTTATGCACTAGCTTGATCGCCACACAGCAGCTGTGTTGCTCTCTGGTGAAGCTTTTTCCCGATTCCAAGACACTGGAGCAGGGACAGCAGTCAGTTAGGCGCTTATTCCTCGTCTTTGTAAACAGGCCTTATCGACAAATCTGTAACGTTACACTCTTGTTTTGACCATATCACATCAAATCCTATTCAGTTGTACGCACATGAAGAGTTGTTATCTATGCAGGGTTCATAACAATTAAGAAAGCTTTGAGACCATACCGAAATGCTACCAATCCTTGGGATGTCCTTCATGGCTACTGTGATGCAGGACTTCTTGAACAACAGACCAGAAGAATCTCCCTTATTTGAAAAAGTTTTCCCAATATTTCGCTCCAATACTCAACATAAAGTTGGTACAATAATTCCTCATCAAATGCAAAACCAAAGTAGGCTAATCACTTGTTATGCAGACACATGTTTCATGTCATAGAATAAGGAGATTCGTTCGTGTTTCTCTGTGAGTTGGTTTCAGACTGATACGGAAGCATTTCTGTGCAAATGTGAGTCCACAAAATCAAAGTAGATTGGACGGGAAAATGAAATAATGGAAAACTCAACAAAATCTTAGATTACACAAAGTCAACATTCCTGTCTGAAATTTTACGACTATTTCCCACGAGGGCAAGTTATCTTGTTTTCCATGTTTCCGCTGAAATCGGACATAAATCGGCTACAAGTTGTGATGTAACGACTTGTCTCTGTGTGTGCGTGCAAATTTTGGAACATTTCTGTCATGGATTTTTGTCCTCCACCTCAGCGTTTACAGAACACGGTCTGACAGTGATATCCATCAGGAGATCTAACGGTTTCGAAGAAATCAAAAAAAACCCTCACCTAGAGAAACAAGAACTTCTCCGTCCAAATAGAATGTGGAATGTGCTACGTCCACTGATGTTGTCAGTACGACTCAACAGTTCACAGAAATGGAGAGGAAGTTGGATTGCAAATAAGTCGATTATCCCGTGACATGAAATTCAACTAAACCAAATACAGAAAGAACTAATATTCCGACAGGATGCCACTGAGAGCTTGAAAAGTAGAAACAAGATTTTAGTATATAAGGCAGATTGTTAGCAAGATGTATTTGTTCATTTGGAAGGATGGAACAGAAACGTTTTTGTGAACGACTCTGGATAAAAGAGTTCATTAATGTGGTTCGGCAGGAAGTTGGGAAACTGCCATGGGACGTAGCATCCGTAACACTAGCTAATTCATTGACTTCCCAATTCAATCAGCAGTGGATTTCTTTCTTAGTATGCCTATAACACAATGAGCGATTTGAATTTTGGCTGTGAACTGTGGATCTACGGTCCAGTTTTTATCTGATCGAATATACCATTTGCCAACACTAGCAACAGGGGCTGTTAAATCATACGATTGACGTTTAATAGTATTCAGGTCAACTCAAACCATGTTTTTCATTTGAACTTTGAACCCAATCAACCCAGGAAGGGTGAATCTGTTAGGTCAAAAATGCAATGGCAAAATTCGTCATCCTAGTTCACTCTATTCCAAAAAAAATTCTGAAAATGCATTGGAGATAACTGCTGAAAGTGAAAAACCAGTAGTGAGCGTTCGACCGAAAATTTTATGGTTGTACAAATCAGCTAATTGGTAGTGACCCCCGAATAGCAGCAATGTCTGACAAATTCGTATGGAATTGTAAGGGGACATTCTTTTTATATGGTACTTGATTATTTTCGGTGAGCAACCATTCTCCCCTACGTACTATCAGAGTTGGGATTTCTACTAGATTTATCGAGGATCAGAAAAAACGCTTATTAGTTACTTTAACCGTGAACTATACACGGGGTGTATGAACAAGGTCATCTTTATACGACATATACACTCATTTGCAAATCGATTAGGTCTTCAAGGGAAAACCGCCTGAATTCCCGCTGAATCACTCACTTGTGATATTCTTGAATTGCGTGTGATGCACAAAGGTCGCCTCGTATTTCCGTTGTCACTGGCATATTCGAGATATACAAATATATTTTCACGGGGAACACTACTCATAAGGTTGCTGAAAGTTCTTCGACAGCCCATAACTGTTTTCGCATTTCCTATTCGGACCTGAACATTGTCAACTACACCTTCGGTTTGGAATAAAGAGATTGTGTACATCAACTGGTCGGCACATTGGAAGACTGATCAGAAAATCTGAAAATGCTGGCGAATATCAGGTGCTGATCAAAAACTCGGCGATATTGTAACAGGCATTCAAAACCTTGGTGTTCACATAGCGGCTGACGAAAACTTCATCAAGCTGCAATACGCAGATGACACTGTTCTCGTCTTGGAACATAAAAGAAGGCGCAGGTGTTTTTGGATGAACTGTTCAAAGTCTTTGTCATGCGCCCTGCGCCCACGAACTGTGAGGTCATACTCCCGGATATATAGTCACTGAATATGTAACTTTAAACCATGGAAAGGCGCCCAAAAGTGTACAGCATCTTACCTATATCGGAACTTGCATTAGTTTTGATTGTGGTTTTAAAGCTGGGATCAATTCAAGTCTCCCGCGTTTGCCAATTTGGTACACCTATGGCGGCAAACCCGTATATCTCTGAAACTTAAAGAACGTGGGTATCAGTCTGTAGTACAGGCTGCTTTGTTTTGTGGCCGTAAGACGTGGTCTCTGTGAGCAATGAAACTGAAACACGTTCAAATCTTCGACAGTCGTTGTCTCAGAACCATTATGGTTGTACGGCAGCTGAGCGTAAACGATGATGGTGATGATAATCTTGGCGGAACATACACTAGACGTAGGACAGAGAACAGACCTGGAAATTTCGGAGCCTTAAGGAAGGAACTACAGTTAGCATCACAGTGGCTGACGGTCTAGGCGGTTCAAACCACCGCAGTATGAATAGAACATAGGGCATAGAGCTGGCGAGTGTACAAAGGACGGTCCTAGATAAGCCGAATTGACACGTGGCTGTGTACAGTTGTCAACGGCCGAAATTCTCAAAAACCTTCCCCTTTAAGCGGCTGCTTTGGTGCTACTCACCCATACAGACCAACTAAAAGTGTATGTGATACCCAAGAGAAAACTTCATATGAAATAGACCGGAACGTCTAGATCCCAGTCGCGGCACAAATTCATGTAACCTTCCCCTTTGGAAAACCTGACTTGGGAGCAAACCAAATCTTAAAAAAAGCTACCATTGAATGCTAGTAAGGAAGGATTCTGGCGATTAATTCTGCCTTAAAACTTGGAGGAACTCATAACCTCGTAACCTGGTCCGACAAAGCTTTTGTGTTCAAAACGAGACGTTGCGCAGCAGTTCATTTCCTGACGGTTTCTGAAACTAAACCGGACATTATTTTCAAACCTTTTCCAATTGACTTAACCAGATATTAATTTATCCTAGTAGTCGCATAATCGCTATCACCAATTTTATCAAAGAGGTTTGATGGGGTTTGAGTATGTGATAACGTCATCACTTCCCTGACAAGGGCAGGTTGTCATCATAACAAAGTTGGGTTTCGCCTAGCTATCTACCCATCTGCCTATCGACCATTCATTCCCACGATCGGGCTTAACATCAACCGCGTCAATCGGTCCCACATACACGTCTGCACCAACCAGTACTAATAGTGGTTGCGTGTCTCGGCGAGCACTTTGAAACCCACTCCGATTGGGCGAGTGTTAGCAAATTCACTGACCATCCCTAAAAATTACGGGATAACACTGGGGAGGTTTTTTTTACAGTTGTCGTATCCCCCGATTCGCTATCACCATTCACGCCGACGGAGGAAACTTTCTACCCTCTACGGTTTTAGGAGACCTGACTTACACATTGAGATGAAAGCGTAAACAGTGAAAATGAGTGCTCGCAAATGTGTCTGTGATAATCGTGCAGCTTGAATCATTTTGACCACGAAGAAAGAGAACAAAGAGTTCGCGAATTACATTCATTTACAAACTAATCTGGTCTCAAAGAGAGACTCTTCTGAATCTGTCACTTGTGGTACTCTTCAACCGGATGTGGCGCACAAAGTCTGCTTCATAGTTCAGCTGGTGTTGAGATGTTGCAGTATATTTTCACGAGGAAAACTACTTACGAGAGTTTTTAAGCAACCTTATGAACATCTCATTGCACTTACTTTAACGCTTCTTACGTAACGATACCTTTAGCCTTCTGTATCCCTGTGTTGATAGTTACCTATATTGCTAAGCGCTTTGTTCTGTTTGTTGCGCGTTCCATTAATGAACGGCAATCATGCTTGCCTTCGTAACACTAGACGTCTTATCCGACCAATACATGGATAATGAAGCATGCTAACTGAGGATGACACCTGATGCGAGTAGCAGCTTGAGTGACGGGACAATAAACGAACGCGCGTTGCGTTATCGTAACCATCGCAATAGAAGCCAGATGAAATGGCGCCTTTTTTAATGATTGCATGTGATGTGCTGAATAGTTGCCAAGCCGTCCAGTACGTAGGAACGTCAAAGGCTGTAATAGGCCTGCTTGAATTATATGCTCATGACGGTAACGGCTGGGGTAAATCTCAGCTCTAGTGCACGTCAGTAAAACCCTATTATCAGGACACTGAAACAGCTTCACAGCTCAATAGTGGAATGATTGGATAAACTCTACTGTTCGAGACCAACGCGGTCAAATTTAGCCCTATGTACTGGTCGGAGTGGGGATTGCTCCGCTGAAAACACTAAGTTCTGTATATCACGTCGAGCCGTCTGCAAAATACAGAATCGATGGATTTACGTGGTATCGCGTTGACATAAACAAGCAATGGATCGATCACATCACTTACGATAACCCAAGGGTGATTTTCTCCAATTCCGCCATAGAAAGAAGTGAGTTAATTGGGGCACAAGATTACCAAAGATCTGAGGATGATAAAAATTTACCAGGAATCCCTTTGTTCTTTTGATTTATACGAACTGACGTATTGACTTCAATCGACCATTTGTACTTGCTACATTGAATACACTCAACATAGAAAAAATGTTACACCATATCAGTAAGCCAGCAATCATACTGCGAATACTAACTTAGCCGAATGGGAACCGACAATCTCCCGGCTAGTAGTTTTAACCATTCGGCCTTGTGAGATGCGCATTACATAGTGCTTTTCCAACACAAATTGGTTTCACTTACAGGATGAAATCTCCATCAAGGTCCGTGTTGTCTACATTTGTTCGGTTACATCCGACAAGACGTTTATCTTTTTCGAACCAGTATTAGTTACTATGGCACATATCCTAAGTATCCTAAAGCAAATTTCGCAAGAATTCGACGCGATCAGACATATTACTAGTATGAGGGTGGTGTGATAAACCCCCTGTAGTAATGTCAACTGATCACATCTAAGCAGATCCATGCTGATCCGCACAATACAGTCACGCAGTAAACAACGTGCGGTCACCAATCGATATTGAGTTCTCAAGCCCCATAAACTACATTTCAGTGATTTGAGGAGACAACCCAGGTTTGGCCAGTACTGTGCTATCAAATACTTAGTTTTAAAATTGACGGCCTGATCTGGGAGCAGTCCTAGTTTGTCATTTCGAATACTTGGGATCATGGAGATCTCCTACTCCTAAACATCAAGTGATTTTTTGGCTTTGGTGTTCCTACTTCTTTTTAGAACGAATAGTCTTGTCACTTAGACTGCTGTTCAAGCAGCACGTGCGCAATTCCTTATATGACTATGCTTTCGAACATTGCCCAGTGATTTCAAAGATCCCGCGGTTCTCCTGTTGCTTATTTGTGATGTTTTGTCATAAATAAGTTCGTCTAGGTTGGAAGGTACACAGGTCCTGAATGACTGGTGAAAGTTAGGATCACCTATTGACTTGTGAAGGCCGGAGCAGCGTTTTCTAAACTCCGATATTTGTAGCGCCAAGAATGGTGTGTGCAACGTCGCGGCCCGATCAAAGACATGGTTGCTGTGTGCAGAAAATCTTCGGAGACCTTGTATGTTTGACCGTTGTTGCCTCCGAAGCATTGCGCGAGTCTGGTGGTAATTGAATCTGTAGTGCTGAGGTACGCCAGATGGACCACTCTCTCTCAGTAGATCGCCTGATCGCATTCCACGAGTAACGCTGGTTAGGCCATGTACTTCATATGCCAAAGGACCGTTTGCCTTGTAGAACTTCGTCGAGTCTTGTGTCGGATTGAGAGGACCCAATGGAATTCAGTCCATGACTTGGCAACAAGGCATGAAAACCCTTTCCAGTCAAATTAGTCGCATTGCTAACCGCTGTCTCCCTGGATGATGAAGACGGGACCAGACAAACAAGCGGCTAATGAAACTGGCATATATAGCCGTCACGTGGCCGATGGTGGTCTTGCATCAAAGATATCCTCTTCACTTTCTGCGACACGGGCCAAACAGATCCATTCGCTGTTAGTTCACGGATTGGACCATCGCCTCCGACTTGGTGCTTTCATCGCTCATTCGCCTTAACCTCGATGAACGAACATGTAGCCGCTAAAACCACTGCATTTAATTGCATAATTTGTGAGCTGAAAAACTGAAAAGAACTGATATGAATTCTGAAACTTACATATGTGTGATGAAAAGGGCTTGGACTACCGTCGAGTGCTAATTCATCTCCAGAATGAGAGACAATCCCACAGGTCAGCCATTTCCAAATGAACCCTGCTTCTACATAAGCAAAGAAGCTTTCAAACTCGCAGTGTTTTATAAGAAAGTGTTCAAAATATTAGACGAATCAAGCTGAAAAAAATGGAATGATAAGAGCATTCGAAAACCTTGCATTTCTCTGCGTCGAATGAATTCCAGTATCAAACATCGCTAAGCATCATTGAAAGTAGCTGTCTCGATTAAGCGTACTAAATAAGCGCACTACAGACTCGAGCCTACGGTGCAAGTGACAAGTCATCTGAGAAGTGTACAAAACAGTTGTAAATTGTGGCTGGTTTTCCAAGTTAAAGCCACAAAAGGGGAGTTAGTGCTACCGACGACGACGCGAATCGGCCGAATCGATAGACGGAGCGGCCAGCTCCGACTCGCCCGGTTGCGGAAACCTTGTGAAGACCAGGTTGAGGACCAGTCCAGCTGTACGTAACACCTGCACAGCATCCGCATGACTCATTTGACTGACATCGACCCCGTTGACCTGAAACACATTTGAAAACGTCCAACATTCAATTATCTACTAGATTAACGGATACTTCGGGAAATGTGCCAGTCAACGGTGCCACAAAGAGCTTTGGGTTATAGTACCCTACGCATAAATCTCAACAGTTAGTATTACGTGCAACTGTGCAAAGTGTGACCTGAAACTTCCGTCAACTTTACATTCAACTGGAACACAAGCTTCACCGAGACGAAGGGACCATCACCACCACTACCATCTGTTGAGCCCAGTAAGGGTGAAACCAGTCGTTGACTGTCAGAGGTTTTTCAGCAACCCTGTGAGTAGTGAGTTACATAAGGGAATTATGCTATTAACGAGCAGACCTACAAATGAACGACTTCGTTTCAAGTGTACACCACTGATTAAAGTTCAAAAAAGACTGGCATTCTGACGCTGCACATCCGAATATGACAGTAGAGGTTAAAGAATTAGCATCATCAGGTTTAGAGAGTGTGATAATCTTCGCCGAAGAGACATTTTCAAAAGGAATCGGATAGAATTGCTCTTCACGAAAAGAGTTCTCTCCCAACGATATAGATCTCATTAAAAAGCCGTCGGGGAATGAATTGAATGATGTGATAGCCTTATGGAAAGATAGAGAACGCAACAAGAAAAATACACCACAATAGTGACAAGCGAAATTGAGGAACAAAGAGTGCTTGCTGTCTTCCTCTTGTGCTGACTGTACAGAGAAAGTTGTCCCATAATCGAAATATGGAAAACAGTTCGCACTAATTTTTCACGGGAGCACATTTCTTAAGCCCCACTCCATACGAGAATGCTCTACATCCACAAACGGCGAACTAGATAGCGGTGAACAGCCTTTTCTTGTATAGTTAAAATGTGTACTCTTAGTACTGAGTATCTCATCATCATCACCATCCTTGGCAGCAAAACATCAGTAGTACTGGCAAATAAATGCCACAAAACCATAAGAGAAGAAATAGTGGGAAGAAGAGGGAAGGGTGGGGACTTATTGCGAAGACACCCAGTGTCCAGAATAAAAACAATCCATAATAGAGGCCTGGCTTTTTGGACAGCGTGGAACTAGACATATCTGGGAATCACGTCCGCGTAAGGCCGTATCAGCGGGATAAAGAGAGCCTCCTTAATCCACGGCAAACCTTGAATCCGCGCTAATAAGGTCTTCAAGTGTTTGAAAACTTTTACAAAGTCTCCGGCTGTCAATTTCTATCTACCAAGGACCATGTGACAAAATGGCACACCATCATCTAACATGTAGTACCAAAAATTAGAAAGTCGAGGACACCACAGGGGATTAGACTTTCAACGATGGAAATGTTGTTGCAAGCTCCAAGAAATTATCAGAATAGTGGACAGTATTTCAGCATTTCTGTTGAACAAACCAGTCTTGCTATGTGAATGTGACAATCAGCCGAGATCATACGAAACACGGAAGACAGTAGGCGTCGGAAAAAGAAAACGTAACCAAGCAAGATTAACTCGACGCTGAATTCTCACAGGAGACAACCAAGATGGATACAATCAGAAAACCTTAACCTTGCAGAAGCCTACCTGCATCAGCTGATCTCCAGGCATAATGCGGCCGTCTCGTTGCGCCAAACCGTTTGGAGTGACGCGAGTAACAAATATTCCGGGGACCGGCAATGCATTCGGATCATCCTCCGCTTCTCGTCCACCCGCTATGCTCATCCCGAGGCTAGTATCAGGGGTTGGTTTTCTTAACTGAACCTGGGAATACAAGAAACATAAAGAGATCGCAACAATCGATTGAAGATCGATCATGAGAAACGAAGGCAAAGGCTCTAAAACTACAATAGCCTCGATAATAAGGTAGTGAAGTCCGGAAACCAATCACTCTGCACACAAGGGTAGTAGTAACCTTGGGAAGATGAAATAACTCATCTTGGTTTATCCTGAACTCACTCTTAAGGTTAAGACAACTCATGCATCCTGTGGCACAATACTCCCAAAAGCCTCCCCATCTCAGTTGTTTACGAATCAAGGCCTTCACTTAACTTGCTGTGCGCACAGCAATATTCTCAAGGCCAGTGTGACGGACCGTGAAGGCTGAAGTATCCAGTGCCATGTTTTGCTCATGAAACAGAAGTTCCCGAACTTTTTATTATTTGTTAAAGATAATATCCGTCCTCCCTCTAAAGGAGAGTCCTACATGCCAAGTGGTCATCGCGCGAACGCGAAGCATACATTGGTAATCACTGTCACGCGGAGTATTTGAACCTGTTGACTGACAAGATGACTTTCAACGGCGGTATCCGCATAGTGTAATAACTTGCATCCGTACTGTTTCCTTGAGATCTGGTAAAAAAACCTGCCACATCAACCAAAATAGCAAATCTAACAACAGACCAACAGACCTCAAACCAAACTGGAGTATCTCCACTCTCATCTAATTCTGACAGGAGTTCCGGAGAGCGTACTGACGTCGAACGAGGGGTACTTGAAGAGTTCACACTAGCTGAGGCAGCCTTGCCACCATGGTAACGTCGCACCACCTAAAAAGATGTGAAAAATTAAATGTTGATAGGTGTCCACCAGCATCAGAATTTAAATCTATCGAAAACGGAATCGGGTGCCGTAGTGGTTGAACGACACTCGGGAAATCCCCATATATGGATGGCCCGATCTTTCAATGACGTAAAAAATAAACACAGTATAGCTGGAGTGAAATTCATTTTTAGAAAACCTTTGTATTTGCTAATTTACTGGACAGCTACTGCAAGTTTGTTTGGAGTAAGTAAGCCGCTGATGGAGTCAATCACCGTGGGCAATCTACGTACGACCTCAAGCAGCTTTGGTAAAAACGCCCCACAGACAAGTTCACACTATTGAGGTCGAGTCAAAAATCATCGATCGTTTTACTAATGCCACAGAGATGTGCTATAGAAACCACTCCTCTGTCATGGAATGGATCGATTACCTCGGACCGTTTCTGTAGTTCGGATTTCAGATCCAGAAATTTCCCGTTTCTTTATCACACAAGCAACGGTCCTTGCGACAGTTAGGTGTAACCAGAGGCAAAATTGAGTCTTCAACTGGCAACCGTCCAAGGTGCGCCCTAGAATTCAAGCGCTAGTGACCAAAATCATCAGAATGTCTGGGATGTAACGAGCAACAGGCTGTTTTCATTCTGCATGAATCTGGGCTCCGGACGGTTCAGTGGTTAGGGCTCAAACATACTGGCTGAAAGATTCGTGGTTCGAACCCAATCCTCAGGCTTGGGCAACCTGGCAATATCTCAGCTCTGGCACTTACTTTGGGTGGCATGGTAGCTAGGTACCGGAAGACTGTCACAGCTAACTAATTAAAAGTTCTTATTTGCGCTGTTAATGAATAGTCAAATGAGAGCGTTTTTTTGAATCCGAACTGAGTTTGAACTGCAGTTAGGAAAAAAAGACTCAATAATACACGGCACGTATTGAGTTGATTGGAAACACTTGAGGATTACATCTATCAAAACCTTCAGATGAGCCCTAATCATGCACCGAGGAAGGTCACAATCCAGAACAAATTCACTATGCATGCTCACTCATATGTGTTCGGCTGAAAAACGAAAGTCAAGCCAGTCTCAATGCCCTAAGGTGTAACTGATTTCCTAGTGTGAGCGTATAATCTGCTTTCCGTGCTCGACGGCTGCTGATGTAACTTACATACTTGTTTGACCAACTGGTTCACCTCGGAAAATCAGGAAAAACGGTTAATTGTAAGGTAAAAAAGCACAAACACATAGAATGTGAGGGTGAGAGTTGAAATAAATGCCGCCGATGACATATTTACAACAGCAAAAGAAGAAAGACAGTGCTTGTGGATTTTTCTGAGGTAACAGAAGGCTGTGGTTACCAGGGGTAGGGGATCAGACGTGGAACGGCCTCGCGTCAAACGCGATGTCAAGCAACAACTTAGTAAAGGCAGTACTGGTTATAATGCTTGACCAGAGCACGGCTTCGCGCCGATGGTGATAAGGCTGACATAGACTTGCCAGTGAGCGCGTGATTGGACCATACGTATCAGCATCTTGAACCACCAAGTGCATCGTCTAGGGGTTCCTGGCTGACAAAGCCTACAGACGCTAACGCGACTGAAATTGCTAATTTGGACTTTCACACTGCGTTGGCAGCTGACTGTCGATTAGCCTGTAGATAGCTTCCATCTAGTACATGGCTCAACAAAAGTGCTATTTGGGTGAGAATATTGCAGCACGTGTAAAGAGCCCAAGCACCTTAGCCTTTTGGTGCCTATATTCTATGCCATCCGAAGGAGGCGTGGGGGCTGAGATACTGCCAGGTTGTACAAACCTAGACTGGAACAGTCGAGATGCCTGGGTTGGGTTCGAACCATGCACCTGCCGGTTAGCAATTTAGCGTCCCAATCGCTGGGCCATCTCAAGCTCAACAAAGTACATGGAAGATGACTAGCTGGCGTACGTTGAGTGATTTGTTTCTTCCCAGAAAACTTCTAACAAAGCTCAGCACTACTGGCCTGATGCGCTCTCCCCTCCCAAAGAAAACCTGTGTAGTGTTCAAAGTCAAGCGCTCATCGATCCCCCTAGACTTACCACCATAAGACAGAACTGGACACACTGCAGCGATGCAAACAAACTGATGTCAAAAAATCACAAGACGAGGGGATTCATTATTCGGGGAGCCCAGTCAGCACGGGAACACGTGACGTCGATTCCATGGGGGGTGAGTGGTGTTATACCTTGTCTAAATGCGAATTAACAACACTGCTGATCAGCAGCTTGTGGCAAAACGGTTAAATGGTCAAACCATTAGCCGGAAGGTCACGGGTTCGAAAGGCCATGGGGTTTCGTGAGATGCGCGCCTCTGGTGTTATCCAAGAAGGATGAAACAGCTTTGTAGTGCTTCTCGGCTTCTCGTGGGTTTACTGCGCTTACAGACAACATTTTAACTGAACAAAGGGAGTTAGATTCGTACTACTGATGCTAAGATTCGGCAGAAACTGCCCTGTTTTCATGAAATCTCGAAGCATGACTGACTACTGACTATTGAGAAACAAACTTTTAAACGATACACTAAGTGTATCCCGCTGTATCTCTTCGGGTATTTATTACGACAAAATATCATACAGATAAAATGGAACAATGGTCTGTACAATGTCCCTTACACGGTGTGGAACGCAGCCACCAGATAGACACAATGCCTATTTCCAAGCAAATGACGAGTTATCGATTAAGTCATTATCGATCGTGCGATGGCCTGCAAACTTGAGGTTGGGTGTGATAAGGCAGACTGAACAGCTTCTTCTGTCTAGGTCGACATTGCCTCTTAGTTCCACTAGGTGGATGATCGAGGAACTACACGTGAACCGGTAAATGATATTGGAAACTGAGATGGGAGAATTCAAACAATAGACTTCAGAATTCGGATTGAAGTATCCTCTGCCATACACAGATATTTGAGTTTGGCCAATTCTTTCATGCTCACCCACGTGATTTCTTGACTAAAGCCCCTTCTTTAGCACATCAAAACAAAACCGGAGAAGTGGAGACACTGATCGGTCCAGTTGTATTGAGTAGACGGACCTACGAAGTTGACTACCATAAACAAGTGATTCAACTGGATTCAGTTGAGTCTCCTGTCGAAGCCAAATTTTTGTGTGCATTCCATTGTCTAGGAGAGTCAATCAGTAACCTCGTGCCAGACTCTTATCCTGATATTTGAGTAAGCGGTGTTCAGTGCCCCAAATAGTTCCATTACTTCTTGTATTGATACCATGATCACTAAGATAGAATTTAATCTATACCATACATGGATATTTTTGCTAGGACAACTAAAACCTGCCTGTGATAATGACCTTGGAAGACGAAGCCGATATACTCTGTACAAAAGAGGGATAGCCGTTTCATTTTACTTGTTCCTACGTTGGTACAGACATAGTAAAATGTCATTTATTCGCTAGTTAACCCGTAATCCGATTGGGTGACAGTACTGGAGTTAATACAGTTCTTTGTATTAGGTTTGCGGATTGTTTTTTTTTTTGGGGGGGGGGGGTTAAGTCTGGACAGAAAAATTGGTAGAATTTTTCAGAGGTCATGAGGAACAACGGCACGCTAACGCATGCATAAAACAAAAAGAAAGAACTCACTAGGTGTAAGGAGTCCCCGGCACGCTTCATCGTCTGTACGGCCTCCATATTTGTAACATGTTCAAGGCTGATCCCGTTCACAGCCAAAATCTGATCATCAACCCTGAGGGTCAAAGGAAAATCGAAATGAAGAAACGGTTGAGCACAACCGAGAAGAGCAACTACAAAACCAGGTCTTTTGAGTTGCACTATAGGGGAAAATGATAGTATGTTCTGCCAATAAAGTGGAGTGTATTTTTTCCCGGGGATAAAATTAAGAATCTATACGTTTCCTAAGAAACAACCGAGAGCTACCTAGAAATTTGAAAAATATACCCGGTCTGAATTCTACCGTGCGTAATTCGAACAGTTGTCAGGGCATAGAAGATAGTGCATTTTGTTATGCCTTGTCCTTATCTGGAATCGGGCATCCAAAAAGAATCATATGAAGCATCAGTCTTGTGTTAATTCAATACAAATGATGCAGTGCAGTATAGGTTGCCGGGTTTCGTGTTGCGTGAATGAATTAAACTACTCACCAAATCTTCAGTAGTTCGGGCTTACAGCACGCTGGTGGATATGCTTTCGTGACCGCTCAGCCCGAAGAAGGGACATCGGTCCACGAAGCTGACTTCCTGATAGTATCATTCCCACTAACTGAAGTGAAGTAAATTTCTCATGCGTACTTCTGATTGTTTTTTTTTTGGGGGGGGGGGCAGTTTAAGTCTGGACAGAAAAATTGGTAGAATTTTTCAGAGGTCATGAGGAACCAACGGCACGCTAACGCATGCATAAAACAAAAAGAAAGAACTCACTAGGTGTAAGGAGTCCCCGGCACGCTTCATCGTCTGTACGGCCTCCATATTTGTAACATGTTCAAGGCTGATCCCGTTCACAGCCAAAATCTGATCATCAACCCTGAGGGTCAAAGGAAAATCGAAATGAAGAAACGGTTGAGCACAACCGAGAAGAGCAACTACAAAACCAGGTCTTTTGAGTTGCACTATAGGGGAAAATGATAGTATGTTCTGCCAATAAAGTGGAGTGTATTTTTTCCCGGGGATAAAATTAAGAATCTATACGTTTCCTAAGAAACAACCGAGAGCTACCTAGAAATTTGAAAAATATACCCGGTCTGAATTCTACCGTGCGTAATTCGAACAGTTGTCAGGGCATAGAAGATAGTGCATTTTGTTATGCCTTGTCCTTATCTGGAATCGGGCATCCAAAAAGAATCATATGAAGCATCAGTCTTGTGTTAATTCAATACAAATGATGCAGTGCAGTATAGGTTGCCGGGTTTCGTGTTGCGTGAATGAATTAAACTACTCACCAAATCTTCAGTAGTTCGGGCTTACAGCACGCTGGTGGATATGCTTTCGTGACCGCTCAGCCCGAAGAAGGGACATCGGTCCACGAAGCTGACTTCCTGATAGTATCATTCCCACTAACTGAAGTGAAGTAAATTTCTCATGCGTACTTCTTGAGATCTGGTTTCAGACCCAGGATGAAAACTGAGCACAGCGGTTGATGCTTAGAAGTGTCCTAGGCAAGAAATATTTGCCAACCGGTACTCAGTCTAGACCCTGACTGACTGACCATCAATTGAATTACTTTTAGGTCTTTCCTTTAGAGTATTTTATTCCAGCGATTAAGTCATAGTTATTGTCATTGTTACTATCTAATATAATTATTTTTCGATGTAGACTCTACTAGCAAGGAGGAATGGCAGTCGTCGCAAGATACCGGAACAGTGCAACATGATCAAGCATTACTTGACCCCTTTAACTCAAAAATAAGTTTCATCCGTTGGCCTCGGAATTCCCATTGGTCCTTCAACCAAGGCAACGACTGCCTGCTGGTGAGTGTTTTCAACAGACGTCTTATGCCTTCAAACTTAGAAGTTGGTAATGGGACTGAATCTTTCGTTTAATGCATTTGTCCACACAGAAGTATCAACGCACCCAAATAAGCAACCGAATGTAAAACGTAGCTGGAACAATATCCATTATATACTTTTTCAGATACGACATTATAAATCAAATTAAATGAAATGTTATGGCAGCATTCCGTCGGTTTGTCTTCTTGGGGCTCACAGGGTAGACGTAGACGTTGTTTGTGAGGTGGAAAAATCGTCGGTAAAATTGGTGCGGCGTGCTCAGTTGGAAAATGACATAACAGAGTGATTCGGTTGAGTCGCCCATCACCTTCGTTTTAATTTAAAAATAAGCTTTAACTCCAACTACACCCGGTTCGTTGCTCAAGCATGTAATGAGAACGCCAGAGTTACTACTATCTGATTGGTCCACAAAGACCGAAACCGGTGACAGGTTGTCGAATTATTTTTATAGAACTTACAAGCATTGCCATTTTTGCACTTACGCCACTTCGGTGAAACGGGTTCATCAATAACTTAGACCCTTTTCTGGACCTCAATAAAAGCCACGTCTGTCAAAACAGTATGTAACATGTATGCTCATTTGACGGTCTCAAACAAATCGCCCATAAATTTCCTCCATTTCTTGTTGTAGCCGTTTTTCCTGTGGATCGTAGTCTAATAGTTGACAAGAGCAAATGCGTTGGGATACATTTCATTGTGCCCTTTAGTCTGACCTACAATTATGGCCTTACAGCAGGGTAAGTGGTATCGTGAAGGAATCACCAGCGGTCATATACAGAGCGAGGTGTGCTCATACACAAACCTTACTTCTCTGTTTTGTACACGTTAAACCTAATCTTTTACGCTCCATATAGTAAGCGCAATAAGGCCAATACCACAGATTAAACTATCAGCAGTAAGCAAGGTGGCTTTTAGTTTCCACCTGAATGTCATTTTATGGATGCCACTTTTTCCGTTCAATCTCACGAGAATTAGGTGAGTAGGGTGGAGCCAGTTAATCGTTTCACTAGAAATGTCACATGGATGCAAGTTACTTAAAAGGAAAATAATACTGTACCAATGTTACCAAACAAGCAGGCCGTATGGACAAAACTACCGTAGGCGTCCATCGACGTCTGCACAGCCGTTTGGAGCAATTCGCGTCACGTAAATGCCTGCATCGGCTTCTGCCACTGGAAAATCGATCCCGCCAGCAATGCTGAATCCAAACCCCCCAGGAGACAATGTTTCACGCTTTAGTACAACCTCAAGATATTCCCAGTCCGGATTTTGCTTCACTGTTGAGCCAGCTGTAGGCCAAAAATATTTTGGAAGTAGAAATAATTATAAATAATAATATGCCTTGTGTCCAAATGAAATGTCAAAAGGACAGTAACAGAGTCAGACTATTCAGCATAATGCTTTATTTGAAAAGAGAGCAGTCCGAAACTTATATTGAACCCGTCTACCCATGTGATAAGATCTCAAATTACAACAGAGTCAAAATGCCAGAATGACGAGGCAGGTACAGTACTGTGCTGGCCAGTTCACAACAGATTGCCTTGTAATATTCAAATTACGCTCTAGTATATAAATCTTGCGGTCGCATGTCATCTTCACTTCTTCACACTACATTTGCCTGTATCTTCAAAAAACTGCCTGTCGCCGACCCAACCAATTACCGGCATTCGGCCAAATTAGTACCCTAATACTCTCAATCGGACCTTTAAAAATTTGACCCTCCTCATAGGAGTACAAAGCAAAACGTTTTGATCAGTTTTTCACGTAAGTGGATTCCTAGCCGCAGAAACACCAGTCCTCAAATCCCAGATTAGATTTTGGCCTCCAACTAGCTACAAAACCTTCCGTTCAAGAAAGACACGAACCTTGCTGCCCAACAAGGACAAACCAGTTAGACCTTTCGATCTCCATCCCTTGGGCAGAGGCTAAGCATCGCAGTCGATAATGTCAGTACGAAGGTGTCCACGTATATTTGAGTAACATAAAAATTTTAGTGTACGGACAGAGTAACCTGTACCAGGAAGCTAGAAAAGTTTCTAAACTGTTCTTCATCTCTCTTAACAGCACACTTATTGTAGCAGCTACAATCTGATTCATCTCTGTTGGAGTCATTCAAATTGTACATCTCACTTAAATCCTTAGGAATAGAAAAAGCCGGTAACAGTAGTAAATGTGCATAAATTCTGAATGGCGAATAAGCAGCATGTCAAAAAACATCTAATTACATTCAACTGACCGGAACTTTGAGGCACGTTTGACGATGGTTGCTTTGGGGACAGCACTGAGCCATTCATTCGAGAGCCCACGCTCGATTGCTAAAAGAACGCAAATACAAACGAGAAATGGCTCTAGTCATAATGGATAAGAGACACTGTGTTGTGATCATAACAGTCAAGTTAATTTGATCAACTTTACTGTTAATCACTGAAATAAAAACTGGGATTTTCATGTAAATTAAATTTATATGCAATACAGAGCAATAAGAAACCTTTTGGGGCCAAAGGCATTACCATCACCACTGAACTCAACAAGACTGTTGATATTGATGCTTCGACACCGAACCAGTGAACGGCTCTATGAAACATGCCTGCTGTGGAAGGGTGAAAAGATTTGAGGGGACCTAACGCTAGAACGTGAAAATCACCCTACACCTCCGGATGCATATCCAGAAAAAAAGAACACAGACGTGAAGCACACGCATGCAGTCAGGCGTAGAGTAGCCTTTAGAACTCTTGGAATCTTTATCATACCCCTCTATCAGGTCAAAGGCTTTCTGTGCCGCATTTCGCGTCCTATTGAAGGGGCCATATGAAACATGAGTCGCCTCGGTGGGGGACAGTCCGGCGTATAGGGGACAGGGCAGAAACAAAGGTTTGCCATGCTGGGTTTATTCCGCCTCACCTAAGTGACCCATGAAAGCCATCCTGCATTCACACTCAGCAGACAAACCACCATCAGAGATAACACAACTACCGAGACACATAGACTTCTTCGTGATCTCCAGTCTCTCCCTTTTAACTGAAAAGTGAGTATAAGTACCAAGTAGAAGTAGAAGTAAGCAAAACCACATAATAAAAGCGGTTTTATTCGACAAAATGCCGCGATAAGTTGCACAGTTTTACCTAGGTTTTGGTATGCAGCACTTTTAAACTGCTATTCTTCATGTTCAGTATCATCTTCCTTCTCCCTATCAATATCAACATTACTGTACAAAAGTTTGTTTTAGTAAAGAACGATCGCAACCACCCGCTTCTTTGATCCAAATGGACGTAGGAATTTTTGCTGATTGTTGTTGCGACTGCCGGTTGGCTATAATTGACTGCTGCTAAATCTAAACGTGAACAAAAATTTTAGCTAAAAACTGGACTCATCTATTTACATCTGTGGATCTATACTTCGATCAACCGAGATTTAGAATACCCGGAAGGTAAAGCTCTCTCTTCTTGGTGTCCTGGTTCAACGGAATACGGAATTTACTATTTAAACTGTGAGTCGAGATACACTTGGATTTTTCTCCCTCTGACATTTTATCCGTTGCATCAATCTGTTCTTCCCACTGGAGACTCCATAGGACCGCAAACCACTACAGGTACCACGGGGATGCATGTCTCATTTCCGACGGAACGTGCCGTGCGAGTGTCTATTTTGCTACTGCGGCTTGTGACGTTTCTCGAGAATGTTTTTGACCGAAACGTTAATTTTTTGTCGCGTTGCTGCTTGACATTTTCTGTCACATTGAATTTTCGAACCTTGCACCCTATCCATACTTATAAGACCGCCCGCACATCCAAATTTTGTCCTACGTTTCCTGCACAGTACCATACCAATCTCCTGAGCATGACGAGATTTTGGCTTCCCGGCGATGCCTTTGGGTCTTGCGTTTCCTTTTCTGTCTGAGGTGCCGTATGGCGGAAACAAAAAGGGAGACAACACATATGTCACACGCGTCTGTGACATGTGTTGTTTCCAGAAACAAAATGAATCCACTCAGTAAAAGAGCTAAAGTGTGGAAAGTCAGCAAAAGTGATGGCGGAAACTTTGATGTTTGCAGGAACACATGAGCGCGAGAGAAGCAGGTGGTTCAACCTACGTTGTTGGTTTTAGAGCTGGAGGGCCTAGACGAAGCCGAGTCAACGTCCGCTCCCAGCATCGTCAAATAGTACTCGTGAACATCTGTAATTAGATGTAATTAGATGAAACACCTTACCCATCAAAGATGAGAAGAGCGGATTTTCGATTGCTGTGATAAGTTTATCCACTGCGTTCTTGAGAGATTTATTCTCATCATTAGATAAACGTTCCCTGAGACTCCCAAGAAGTTCCAGTGCGCGCGCTGTGTCTACGGTTTCTGCATGTAAGTTGATGGAAAGTGAGTCTACCCTTCCTCCGCAGAGACATCGAAGGGCGCGCCGTAGATGTGTCTAGGTTTCTGCATGTAAAGTGAATGGAAGTGAGTCTACCCTTCCTCCGCAGAGACATCGAAGGGCGCGCCGTATGCTGATGTAAACATTGTTGCCTGATTAAAACCCACTTCATGCAGTTTTTTGGCTCTCTTTTAACTCCGTGAGATACGTGAAGAACCCGAAAGAGTTGGATAAATTGTTGATGATGGATTAATACTGAGGTCCAGTGAACACTAGTTGGTGGTGACTTTGGCCTGAACTCCTGGAGGGGCACTCGATGAGGACGTCAAATAGTTTATTTCCAAATATTCTCGTTAACTCTAGGCCGCTTGGTCCTTGGTTGTCTGCTTGCTATATTTTGCCTTCACATTTTTTTCGCCGAACCAGGCAAAGGAGGAATAACAACACCCAAAAAGCGCGGTATGGTGAAACAACATGTGATGTTACCAGTAACACTACCGGCCACAGTTTCCAGTTTCCAGCGGACACAGTTTCCCTCTAGGGGAGTGATCTAGATAAGTTGGTCCTCCTTACTTTGAAGTTGTCAGAACCGGGACTGCCTGCGTGCTTCGTACTTGATCTGCACGACTCCAGCTGGTAGCGCGTTCCATATCCCTTATGACGTTGAATGAGCCGATGTTTCCTAACCATTTTCCAAAGCTAAGCAATAATTTTGCTCTTCATTGACCAAAAAATTCAATTTTTACATTTCAAATGTTGGTCCCGTTAGGGTAAAGCGGATTCAAATTAGTTTGAGGCCGGTTTATGAGATTGTGTTGCAAACTGGGTGCTGAAAAATGCATTTTTATATACTCGGCATATGCCAACCGTAGAAATAGTCCGTCAAAGGGGGTTTCATTTCCTATGCTGATAAATAGTCACTGTACCAGAAATTGTGTGGACAAATTCTTTGGGAAGCATCTTCTGCTTGGCGCTTCATCGCACGCAGGACAAAATCATGGATTTGTTAAAGATTCGGGATAAGGTGCCTTTCCGATTTAAAATCCAGCGTGAAAGGAAGTTTTAAAAAAATGGAAGATTTGGTGAGTCACAGACACTAGTACTTCAATGAATCTATGGCTGACAAATTGCAAAATAATTGAAATACATTATCACGTTGCATGTTAGTACGATGACAAGTGATCACAAAACTTTGAAACGCCACGAACTTGAGTACCCGATGGAGGATAATAATGTCCTCGAGTTTTGGAGATATCATCTCAGATAGTTTATATTACGACTGCATCGTAACGAACCCATATTAGGCTTCGAGTTCTCTGGGTCCACCGTTAATGGACACATTGATCCTCCAATATCGTCAACGAGATTGAGTGGGCAAGAAGTAGCTTTACCCATGTAACAGGGAGATATCTGAGCAAGCTTTTCGAAGGTGTAAACGTCCCAGAGTTATCATCAGGTGTAACTGGTGCACGGAAAATGAAATGAAGGGGCGACGCTTGCAGTTGTGCCAGTCCAGTAAATAAATAAAATTTTTTGTCTATGTTAGTTTCATAAGTATTAAGCACAGTTAGCTTGGGGTGACAATGTCCACAGTTATGTTGGTGAATGGCCATCGTTAACCATTTGATTTGGCTAGCATGTGTAGTTGATGTCACAATCGGCGTCGGAAGTGGACGCAGATTCAGCAGTTATAATAACTAACCAAGGCAGGCGACAAGGCATGGGGTTATCATGAAGATCGATCTTTAGTCTTAGTTTACGCTTCGCCCCGTGGAGCAATCCAACTCATTGCCGCCGTGCTTTCCGATAAAGAAGACATCTCACCGAAATGTTGGTGGATCGCATACAGATTTCTGAAAACGCTGCAATATCCAATGAGTAGTTGAGCATACTTTGTTCGCTTTTGTTAACAACGAAAATCACTTGATAAATCAGAAAGCAAGAGACAATAATAAAGCCTGTGTTCTGGGAGCGTGAGGTTACAACAACTAGGTGCACCTTAACCAGGTCAAATATAACACCAAAAATGAAAATGCTAAAACATGAGGCTTATCGTTCTGAGTGTAAGTTGTAACAGTTCCTCCGAGTTCGTCTGGGTTCATGTAGTCTTGTTTCTTCTGGTAGATTCACCGCTACATGTTCCTAGTTGTCCGCAGTTCTTGATATGTTGACTGTTAGAGAGATATAACGGAATGGAGGCAGTAGACGCCGGTATGAAATTGATTAGAGGAATAATTAGGCAAAAGGGTAAACGTTATAAATACTCCCCTCGTTTAGGGATGGATCATCTAGGCGCCGTCATCAGTAAACGTTGCAGACGGATCACTTGAGACAGTGCATTGGCTACTGTCGCCATTTACGAACTCACGAAGCTTACGTGAGAAGTCTGCGCCCGTTGGCTTTTGAAGGCGCAGGTAGACCCCGTTTTAAAATTTATTTCGACCACTTTACATGTGTGCGTAATCTTGTGGGTTCTAGTAACGCTACTGTCTGTCCCTGGGTTCCGGCGGCAGCTGGCCGCAGCGTGCCATTTTCGCTGTGGTCAGTTTTATGTATTTCGTTCAACTGTCTTGATCTCCTGGTTGTTCACTTCATACTACTTGCTGTTGATCATATTGACCATAGCCACATTTTTGTCTACCATACAACAATATGTCCAACGGAGCGGAAACATCCTTCGAGCGTCATGGGATGCGAGAAGTTTTCTCACGGGAGCAGAGTCATGTCTGCTAGTACTCTTCAACAAGACGTGTACCAAACAGGAGTAATTTTATAAATATAGAGGCCGGATACATTCGGGCGGTTGCTAAGAGCTCCACCAGAACTCGTGAACATTAAATCGGTCGGCAATATCATGGCAAGAATACATGTGGAGTTGTAAAGGACAGCTACACAGGCGCAAGTCTTTGTTCTTGTCAGCAATCGTTCACCACACTCCTGCACAAGGTTTAAAAAAGCGCTACAAAATTCGGCAGCAAAATTCCTACGTGGTGACCTGCCATGGGCAAATGGCAACAATAAATTTGCCAACTGCATGTCGGAAGCACACGTAGCAATTTGGCTGCGTACTTGGACCACCTGGTGCCAGATCTACCGATGTGATATCAACATAATGTGAAGTTGTGGCCTATGGGAAGTAGGAATATTTTTGCGCCTTCAATGTGCCCTACTGTGTGGCGCTCCTGAAAACAATTTGCGGTACCTCGTTTAAGGCTGGCCAACGTTTGGAGGTTCTATTTATGAAAACTCCGGTTCTTTCACGTTGAGAAAATTAAAACCGGTGGAAAAATAAAGCTTTTCCACAGCCTTTTTCATAGCTACATTGGCCCTTCAACCAAAACGTTCTGCTGGGAGCCCCATAGTTCTCTATTCTACACCCCTTGTTCTATCCAAGCCCCTGTAAATCCTTTATTCCCACTGCGCCGGTTGCATAACATCGCCAGTCCGGTTGAATTGCTGGCTGCCCAATTGGAGTGTGTAAGCAGGAGGGGGGACTTTATACATTTGTTCCATTTGCCAGGTGTAGACAAAACGCTACGGCGACCCACCTAATTCTCCCAGCGTTGGTCGATTTTGAAGTGCACCATCGTTCGAATTCAACCTTCGAGCCTGGAAGTCTGGTCTGCCTGACCACCCTCATTGTTCACTTCCCAACAGTTCAGGTCAACCAGCTGCCTTTTGCCCATATGGTACTTACGGGTAATGTGTTTCGCTCATTAGAAACGATAATTCAGGCCGCCAGCACAGCTTTAGCTATCTTTTCTATCAACCCTTCAATATGCCCACATGCGGCTTCTGAAGGAACCAAAGGCTTTACTAAAGTCAGTGCTTTTGAGCGCGACCCTTTAAAGTTTGAAAGGCTGCTGGCCACCACGTCAACGAGATTTGAGACTTTTGAGAGTTAAATGGCCAGAACAACTCCGGGGTAATGCAGACTTTGCAATTACAATAATTTTCGCTGTGGATCTACTTTGTCCCTTCTTTTGGCTTAACTTTGAACTCAATAAATCTCCCTATTTTAAATGGCTGGTTGATGGATATTTTTCCTTGGACATTATTCCTTCTGATTTTTCTATTTCTCCAACTTTCCATAGTGTATCATTTGTCTTGTTGTGAGTTTATCTCCTTTCGAAGAGTACTTCCTATTACTTATTTAAAAATGCGTCAATGTATCTCCATGCAGTTACTAGAAAGCTAAATAAATGAAAAAACGTTGCGCAAGTTTCGTGAACCGCGACATAACGCTTGCAGCGGGCTACGGTTTATTACGAATACGAGGTTTGATGGGCTGACAAATCAGCATAATGGTATGGCAGCACACCAGTGATCACTGACTCAGTGATGCCAAAAAGTGTGATGTAGGCTGAGTACGAAATCCGGGCTTTTGAGACTCCGAAAGCGGCGAACTTTTTGTCGCAACGTAAGCTGCAAGACCATACCTTATTCCGAAATACTTCCAAGATTGTTGAGTTTATCACCGTTTGCTAAGATTTTCAGTACAGTGCAGGATTTTGGGAGAGACGATCACTCACAGCCTAAGCTTTACTGTCATTGTTTAGCGATGTAGCTCGTGTTGCATTGCTTACATAATGGAACCCTGATAATTATAGTGGCACTGTACCATGCGAATTTCGACCACAGGCACACCTTTTGTAAACAGGTGGTGAGCGGCTATGCATTAAAAGCATTGAAGGAGATATTCGAACCCGCTAAGGGAGCTATGGTTGTGTACATGACTAGATCCTTTCAATGTTTTGCCCGGAGGTTTACTGTACTGGCCCTTTTTGAGGTTACCGTGCCGCTTTTGGATAAGTTATCTTTTTACAATTTTTTCGCACCAAAAATGGACAAGCATTCCTCCTTTTTCCACCCAAACCCGTGTTTTTGCGACAAAATATTCTAGCAACTATGCTCCATTCCTCGCATAATCCTAGAACCAAGGGTCTTCGCTTTTGTGAAAAACTGTTTCTCATAAATATATTTGGATTGAAACTCTATGCACAATCGCAACATAAATGGCTTGCGCGACACAGCACCTTTTTATCTCTTATCTCTTTCTTCAGGAAACTGTCCATCCAAGCGGCTTCTTTGGCCGTTGATCCGGTTATCAGAAGTTAGTGACAAACTTTTCAACTGCTTCCGCTGCTAACCCTCCGCTGCTAACCATGAGGGAAAACAATGGTATCTTTAACGGCCTGGGATGTGCATTTAATAACGTCAAAACATCTCGTTTCACGAGCACCAGACGATAAAATGAGAAAGTGTGACCAGTTTTTTTATTGATGCAGTTGTGTAGTTTGATAATGCGACGCAAGTGTACACAAGAAAAGCAGCGACAAGCCCAGATGTGCATGCATGAGAGCCCTCGGACATATGAAATCCGCCGATAACTACAAGTCTTACATGGCTCAGCACGAAGGTATCGAACCGTAATTGCGCTTCATAGTAGCTCTTCCTCAAACTCTATTTATACCATCTGGTAGTACTTGGTTTCAGCCGACATCATTTACAGTTAGCCTACTGAAATGTTGTCTTTGCAAAGAGCGGTAGGACGTGATTTTTGGAAACGAAACATTGAAGAAGTATAAAATGACAGCTTTTACGCGGGTTTCAACAGCATTAGAGTAGCACCCGTCCCATAATTTGGTGTGCATGTGCGTCAGGCCTTACCGCGTATTGGCCCGACAGTCCACCAAAAGTACTGAAACCATCGACAGTTTCCTTCTGTTTGACATAAGAAAAGCATAAAGAAATACTAACAAATACTAAAATGGCCTCTAAAATTAATCGCATGAAAGCTCATTATTTATGGTGTTTACTCCCGAGTGATGAGCGGTGTAACACTAGGCCTAACCACTTACATTTACCCGTAGATAGCTGTCTTGAGATCATTTGATCACACAGTACAGCAATGCTAATGATCGAATTTTCTTAAGGTTTACAAATCACTCAGAGTCTTCAGGTAATTTTTATTTAATAAAAAACAAGAAAGTAATAACTTAAATATCTGGCTTTGGTGAGGCCGATTTTACTCAAACCCCGAGACATTTAAGTATCGAATAATCGCACGCTTTTGCTCCACTATGCTCAATAGAATGTAATTTACATCTATGAAATGGAAAAATACCGCACTTTCTTGGGATCAACCGGGCACTATAGCTGTTGTTTTAGTTGTAAATGTCGATTTCTATTATCAGATACCGGCAAGAAGGCGAAGCTTTTGTCATGAGTTATGGTTATAGGGTCGTTTTTCTAATAGGCAACGCGCTCCTTAGTCGTTCACCGCCGTTCTCAAGGGTTTCAGGATTTTTTGCTTTGCCTGACCTCATTTTCCAAATTAATTAATACTATCGTGTATGCAACAAATTGTTTCACTACATGTCAAATATTTGTAGCCGACTGCTAGCTCCCAAAATTTTGGCCCGGTTAACCACTGTAAAATGAAGCGAACAAATTAAAATCTGCCCCAGTATGGGCCAGGTTTTGGATCCTCATTAATCTTCAAACGTTCATAGATTGAGCCCAACGGAAGTTGTAGTGAAAGGTGTAACGTCTGCTTATTTAAAGCACATTGTACTGACCTCACCTCACTTTTGCTCCTCGATAATAACCGTGTAACTCATGGAAAACAACGACTCCGTTGTACTTTTCGTAGCTTGGAAACATTTCACAATCTGCCGCACTGGCAAACCTCGGGGGTCCAACCGTAGACACCGATTATCAGACCATGTGCTTGCGCTTTTTCACCCACTTTTTTGTGATACACAGCAACCGGTTTTAGATGAAAAATCTTCCACGTCTCAGGCATAAAATTTCGAAGGATCCCCTGACTTCTAGGCCACATTGAGAATCCTTCCTATTCACTCATTTAGTTTTGGTTTTATTCTACTCATCTCTTATGCCAACGTGCTTGTTACAATGTCCAGCTCCGACAGCATGTCCAAGCTATCTGAATACCTGATATCCGAATACAGGAGCGTGAAACGCACCTGAAATGATCTAACTTCATCTGGTGATGGTGATGGTGTTGTTCTAAGGATGAACAGATTTTTTGCTCTGTCTCATTGTCCGATGGATAAATATCCCTCAGCCCAAGTCACAGTAGAATGCGCAACAAAATCCAACTAATCTGACCGTCTTTGAAGCGGCCGATGGAACATGGCTCCACATGGTCTATCTTCTAATGCACCCTGCATGTACATCCATATTTGTTCTACCCGAACTCTCTTCCGGTAGCTACCCCGTCCTCTAACTCTTCCGCACACCTACATACCTCCTCTTCCGTCAACCGAAAAGATTGCACGGTTGATGAACCTCCTTTCAACTGCATACTCTCCTTCAAGGAAATAGAACTATGCAGTACATCCATATTTGTTCTACCCGAACTCTCTTCCGGTAGCTACCCCGTCCTCTAACTCTTCCGCACACCTACATACCTCCTCTTCCGTCAACCGAAAAGATTGCACGGTTGATGAACCTCCTTTCAACTGCATACTCTCCTTCAAGGAAATATCCCCAGACTTTTTGAGCCACATAGTCCACCTCCTGGGATAGTGAAAACCGTGACATGACTGAAGACCGGTCTCCTTTGGCTGAAGTGCGACGTGCTCGCACACGGCATATAGCATCTGAAGGAAAACATGTTGCAAGGTGTTTACCATATAACTCATAAACTAAAAGCGTCTTGCTCTCATTTCATCGAACCAACATTATGAACGATAATGTTTTTTTAAGTATTTCGATATTCAACGAACACAAATTTCTGTGACTTCCAGACCTTTAGGACTAGTTCATGCTTTCTTTTGCGCAACCTTTAATATCGGAAAGCAATTCATATGCCAACGTTTACCTTAGCCCCTAACTGGTTACCCATCCACTCTGTAGCTCTCTCACTCACGTTTAGAATGGGTGTTACTGAACCGTTCTGAAAGTGCTCTGATAGCTTTCCAACCGAAATTTTAGCCCAAAACGCTCCGATGCATGGTGATTGTGCCTCCAAAGGTGCTTATCACCTAACCGCTCCCTTTTAATTGAGTTAATATCGGAAAGCAATTCATATGCCAACGTTTACCTTAGCCCCTAACTGGTTACCCATCCACTCTGTAGCTCTCTCACTCACGTTTAGAATGGGTGTTACTGAACCGTTCTGAAAGTGCTCTGATAGCTTTCCAACCGAAATTTTTGCCCAGAACGCCTCCGATGCAGGTGATTGTGCCTCCAAAGGTGCTTATCACTTAACCGCTCCCTTTTACTTGAGTGAACTATGAAGTCACACACGTTTCAACCACGTTTTCTGGAACCGTCTATTTACAACGCTGTCCCTCCTTCAAAGCCTATTGGACGACTGCAAAGCTGAATTCGACTAAGTTGTTGATGCATGTACCTCACACTCACATACAACCAAGACCGTTTGCATTGAATACATAACGCCATCCCTATCATATCCGCCTGAATATCAAACATCCTTTTGAAACCGGACAGTATGGATTCAGACCAGTGGTCAGAAATTGCAACACTCATATATGATAACGGTAATACGTTTATTTCTCAATATGTGGGGAAGATGTCAGTGGATACATGACCCCGTCATCTCAGCCGAAACTCGGCAGGCAGCAACAAAACGGGGAGGGATGTACAGCCAACAAGACATGCTTATTGTTGAAACCAAGAGAAAACTGGGACAACGGGCATGTGGTACGGATGGTTCAGTGATGAAGCCGGTCGGCGTGGACTGAAACTGAAAACCATTGCTGGTCATGAATGACCTTGGTCGGTTCTCCACTCTATACTAGCGCATTCTTTGATCTTCCGCAGCACCTGACATGAACGGCATGTGTGACCATTGTCCGCTTCACCGGGCCAGTGTCTAACGTCCAAGGGGATCTCGAACAAAAGTGGGAATACCTACGATCACACAACAGCCTCGCTCCAATTGTATGAGTTCAGTTTCTGGTCCCAAATCCCTCTGCCCTCCGAAATGCACAACTTCATTCTGCTACCTAAACATGACGTTCCATACGGAGCTGTCTAGAAACCGAAGTATGTCAGTGAGGTGATGGCATCGTACTGATACACTCAATCTCATGACACACCAGCATCTATTGCCTTCATGATCCCGACTACACACTCCCGTCTGCTCGTTTCCTTACATGCAATTTCGAACTAATTCATTGCCTAGTTCATGCCACCTTTGGGGGAGTTTGTTCTTATCCACCAGACATGTCGAACAGAGCTTACCGTCTTGTTTGACCTTCAGTTTGTGCTCCACACAGTCAATGATTTCCTTCACAGCTCGCGTTTTGTTCTGTGCGTTGGCACCAACTCACACTCCTAAGGAACTTTCACACCCGACTCTTCTCCGACAGCAACACCAGTCAGTCTATTCTGTTCCGCGGTATACCGTGGTTATGAGATTTCAGCTGTCATTTATGCGTCTTACAAATTCTCCGATATTATCTTTCCCATTTATGCATTTAGTGAGCGTTGCCATAAGCTCAACTGGCTAAGGTCATGAAACCGCAGTAATGGTCCTCAGTTTTGGTCCAAATTTACTGGATGGATCACCGCAACACTGCAGCTTCAACAGCACCTTTCGCCCGGTTCCTCGTCTTCCGAAATTTGCAGGCTCATTGTCACATACCCAGCAGAATGTTTATAGCTTCGCTTTCCTCGCTTTGTTTTTGCCAGCCGTCTTAATATTTTGACGATCTGGTCTTGCTTCCACCTGGTGTAGGTTTTTGAAGATAGCAGAACCCAAATAGCTATGTTTCCCTGTCAGCGGTGCTCCCCGCATTAGGATCGTGTTGGATGACGCATGGCAGGGTCTGCGTCGGATAATGTCTGCTATTTGTGTGACCGTCCTCTTTCTGCGTAATCCTCGGTGCCCACGATCTCACTAGTTGTGTTAGTGTTCTAACTGTACCCCTACAATCTTGCCCTACAATATGCAGCCCCTACCAACTGAGAATGAGCATGATTGTTATTATAGCCTTGTGCCCCATGGCCGACTCTGTCGCTTCTTTTTATTTTGAGTGTCCACAATAGATGCGGCTGCCCCGTCGCCTCGTTTAAATAGCAGCACTTGGCCACGCCATGCCTCAGGTAGACTCGTGAATATCTTCGTTCCACGGTGTTCTAAATTTGTCAGTTTCCATGCCAATCTTGACTATTCTAACAGACCGGATGTTAACAACTGGGCTGTCCACGGACCCAAGTACAACGTCGCGATGATACATTGCGGATGCCATACCCAGCGTGCTGGCTTGTTCGTAGTCCACCGGGTCTATACTATTTCCTGACCGAGCGTCGTACGTACGCTCAAAAGTCCATTTTAATCTGCTAAGCTAGAAGCATAACTTAAAATTACTTTTCACCCTAGTTCACGTATCTCTCGTTTGGTTCACAAATTCACAAATCATCCCCATAGTGTTATGAAGGACTCGGTATTCCAGTGAGGATAAAACCTCATTATTCATCCGGTGCAGTGTGTGCTGACTATCACGGGAAAATTGCCAAAATCTCACCCACTGTGATGACTTCGTTGGCTTTGTCTGTCGAGACGCCTGTTGTGAGACTAAAGAGGGCTTTTTATGAGTGAATCGCGGGAAGAACTCTCCACTCAGAGTTTATGTGAGCAAAAGCGACATAATTATTGTTTATGTAGTTGTATAAAATATTCCCTAATGCAATAGAGGAGAAAGCACATGAAGAAAACAAGTTCTCCGCAAAATATCCACCGTTTCATGGAGCCATGTTGACAAATGGGACCACCAAAGATATGAATTACGCACCCAAAAAAGACCTCAAATACACATAGGCAAATACAGAAAACTGGGACTGCCCAAAGATATTTGAGGGTTTCGAATGCGTACAGTTCTTTCTTGTAGACTGTGGTATCAGAGAAATCACGACGTTACTCTATGAATCGGCAGCTTCCTGTGGTTCAAGATACACAGTCGACGGTTGTATTTTGCGACTGTTCCTTAGTATCTCCTTGTGACCAAGATGGGTTGTGCATCGTGCCACAATTTCGTAATACAGTCAAAACAACGAGAAATATCTTGAGGTCTTTATCGAGTACGCATAAACCGAAAATGAACGTTTAGTTTTGCATATCCGGTTGAATATCCGGTAATGAGGATCATCTACGGGGGTGTGTTCTTGTATCATTACTGTTCTGGCTTCTTTCTGCTAGTGCGAACACCACAGCGTCACGGAGTAGTTCTTGACGGCTCTTATAAATTCATACCCACACAATATACCCCTCATTTGTGATGGCATGGTCTTGTGTCGTTGCTTGAGAATGATTTAAGTGCTACTGATTTGTACTGACAACACTTAAATTTCGTGCCTGTAGAAACCGTAAACTGTCAAAAATTGCACAACAAAAACAAAACGCAAATACGGATTGATAGTGTGACAATCACTCAAAAACACTTTTTCAATGCGTAAATCTTTTCCTGGTCTCCTCATAAGTTACAAAAATAAATGATCAAGAAGTTGTTTTAATAGGGATATTTCTTGCAATCCATTGTTATGCTTGACGCAACCCGAGCTACCTGATCGGTGTTATACCGAACTATGTTGAGCAGTTTCATCTGATTTGTTGGGTTTGTCCAGCACAACGTGTACAAATCCTAACACTTTATCAGTCTGTATGAGATATGGATTAACTATTCTCCGGAATTTATCTATTATTCGAAGCAAACTGTGGAGTGTCAGGATATGCTAAGATTTCATTTTTGCTTTGTCTCGTAATTAAAGTTTTGCTCACCGGAACATACTGCTATGGGCAACGCATTACCGAAACATGTAACCGCATTATTACTAACCAACAGGTCTGCAACTTTAAAAAACCCATAATTATGGCGAACGATTTAGGTTTACTTCTATTAAGTGGCCGGTAAACGTCCGCTCGGTATTCATATAATGAAATCGAATTTTCGAAATCTACGAGATTTCCAAGGTTACCCATTATTACTGAATGTCTTCCGGGTATAGTGAATTGTTCGGCAAATTATTTGCATAGACGATTTATTTGGGTGAGCTAAACTTCAACGCCATCAATCACCAGTGACTGCGAGAACGATTTTCAATGCAATAAGGTATCGCGAATTGCGGCAAAAACGTGAATCGTTTGCAATGGACGAACGCTGCACATATTTCCGCAGCTGAAATAAACCACTGAACCTTCTAGAAACTACACGGTTTTGCGGATACAAAATATGCGGAGGTGCCACCTCTTTGAATACATTTTGCTATTAATATCAGCTTGAACGTTCTAATAGCAAATAATGCGTTCAAACACCTCGGAAATGGTTATTTCAGGTCAACAGCGCAAAAAACGCCTTCACCTTTATCGGATTACCAGTGCGAGTTTGTAAAAATCTGAGGTTCGCAAATGCCGACGTCCTATCGAAATTTGTTGTCGAACGGCAGATTTCTACCCTTTAACCATTATATTGTTCCAGGACAACTGTGTAGTTGGTGAAAGTGGACGGCCGAACGAACCCACCCAGCGTACACGACTAACACGACGCCGAAGCACGCCCATTCCTTTCTACCGGGGAAAATATCCGAATCGAACGACATGGAAAATTGAATTGTAGGGTTGTTTTATTGAGCACAT